GGCAGTGCACAGCAGTCGTGGTGCTGGAGAAGGAACTGAGAGTTCTACATCTTGACCCTCCAGCCGCAGAAAGAGACTGTGTGCCACACTGGGCATAACTTGAGCATATAACATCTCAAAGTTCACCCGCACTGTGATACACTTCCTCCAAATTGGCCCTATCTATTCTAACAAGCCACACCTCCTAGTAGTACTACTTCCTGTGAGACAAAAATTCAAACACTTGAGTCTGTGGGGTCATTCTTATTCAAACCCCCACAAAAGTGGACTACGGGGAGATATACTACTTAGCGCTTTGTGGTGTTACTTTGTTTATGATCTAATAAAACTTGCCTGAAGATCAGAGTGTGGAGCTAACCACTCTTTTTAGCCATAGAGGCCAGGCAGTGGTGGCACACACCTTTAATCCCAGCACTAGGTGAAGATGGGAAGTGACATGGCTGGGCGGAGAGAGGAATATAAGGTAGGAGGAGACAGGAGCTCAGGACTAAGTCTGAAGATTCTTAGAGGCAGAATTGCCCTTTCGGTGTGAGGATTTGGTGAAGGTAAAAACTAGTGGCTGGCTGCTCTGCTTCTCTGATCTTTCAGCCTTCACCCTCTAATATCTGACTCTGGGTTTTTCCCCATTAAGACCAGCTAGAATTTGCGCTCCAGCTCTCCCTTCAGGAAAGGACTGGTGCCACAGCTGCTAGGAATGTTGTTAGAAGACCCCTCAGCTGTTAACTCCTTGGGAACCCTGCTTCACCCTCCCCACACTGTAGATTTAGTGTCTTGGGGATCTCTGTCTCGTGATCACTTGATATATACATGTAAAGGCCTAGCCATTCCATGTCAGTGAAGGACAGTCTGATAGGTTAGAAAGATTGGTGCACTCTCTGCCATCTCCATCCTAAATCCTGGAATCTATAAGAATACCTATACGACAAAACTGCAGATAGAACTGGGGTTGCTAGTCAGCTGGCCTTAAAGTATACACAATCCTCATTGATTTGGGTGAGAACAGTATTCACGGGGCCCTTAAAGAGGAAGAAAAGTGAATCACATTGAAAAGTCAGTTGTCTTTGAAGATAAGAGGCGTCAAGGAATACAAACAGCCTTTAACAGCTGGAAAAGAAAATGGCTGTCTGTGTCAGCTTCCAGAAGGAACAGGTTCTGTCAACACTGTGATTTTAGCTCAATAACACACATTTCAGACTTTTGGTCTCCAGAATTGGAAAATAAGAAACACACCCATTAAAAGATGATAGAATTTTCTCTGGAAATCTGTTGTAACAGCCATAGAAAACTAATCCAAACTCTTAGAAATCTCCCAAAGAGATGGAGAGATGTCTCCGTGTTACTCAGCAAAGGCCTGGACTTCAGTTCCTAGCACTCACATGGCGGCTCATTACCATCTATAATTATAATTCTAGGGGATTCAAAACCCTCTTCTGCTCACTGTGGGAACCACACATAATGTAGAGCATTGTGTGTGTGTGTGTTGTGTGTGTGTATTGTGTGTGTGTGTGTGAGAGAGAGAGAGACAGAGAGAGACAGAGGACACTCATACACACAAAATAAGTTAACCTAAAAAACAAAAAAATTCTCTGTCATATCAGACATGGGTGCTCTGAGGCTTGGATCACAGTGCGGCTCCTCCCTTGCTCTCATCCCTCTTTCTGTGCTTCCTCCAGTAGGCCTGAGCACTCAGGACACTTGCCTCTTAGCATCTTGTTGCTAAGATACTAAGCCTTGGTTTTGATTGGTGATTATGAGCTCCTCTCCAGCTGTGCCTTAACTTGGGCGTCTTATTTAGCCTGTTTGGATGGTATTGCTCTCCTGCCACCTCCTACACAATAAGATGGCCAAAGCCTGCGTCCACTAGACAGCATTAAGGGAGCTTCAAACGTTATCAGTAAATTGTGATAAGAACTCCATAAAGGTGGATTTAGCTTCCTTAACTTTACCTCAGTGTTTTTCTCTCAGAAATTTGCAACCTCATTTAATAATTGACCCCAAGGGGCAAGAGTTGTTAGGGGACAACTCACAAATTCACTATAGGATCTTCCCTTACAAGCTTTGTGCTTAAGCTAAGAAAGCCCTGGAAGAATTAGGTGACTTCTCGAAGGACATGGGGATTTAGTAGGGTTTATAAGATACTTCTAGAGAGAAGGTGGGTAGAGGGCTCCAGGGAGCCCTACTCCAACATTTGCATGTAGTCTTAGTTCATGAGGAGTTCAGAGGCCTAAGCAGGAGATAATTAGGTTTGCGAAGTGTTTTGTTTGTTTCCATGAGCGGGTAACTTTAGATAAATGAGTCACTGTATCTTGCAGTGTGTATAGCAAGATACATTAAAATGTGCTACATAAATATGAAATTATAACCTAGAAGAATCTGAGAAGAACAGGACTAGTGAAGGAAAAGGAAGTTGAGCGATGCACCCATTTCAGATAATACATAGAACCTTTGAAATTATGACATAAACGGCACTGCTAGATTTATGACCATGGCTGTTGCTTTTGTTCCAAGTTCCTACCTAATATTTATCATCTTTATATTCATATGACATCTTTATTTTGTATCTTGCAAATATCACCCTCTCTTATAATCTTTTCTGCATAAATTTCGCATGCTTTGTGTCAACTCAAAATGAGCTCTCTGAAAAGTTGAACCGATTTGTTTAACTATTTCTAAGTTACTTCAAGCATGGGAAAATGGTGTTTAGGAAATTTGTCAAAATGTACTTTTAGTGTATTCAGGTTTAATCCAAAATTATTTAGATGTAAACCTCAAGAGCTATTTGTCTAACATGAAAAGCATTATTTTCCTAGAAATATTGTCATCTTAGAGATATCATATTTTAGAAATAAAGTTGAAACTTAAACCTCCACTTTCTGTAAACATGAAGTTATAGAAACATCCAGTCAGATTTTGGGAAAATCTCTGGGTTCCCAGGTTCCTTTTTACATTTTATACATAGGAAAATGTTTTAAAATCTCAAGTCGCAATGTCAAGGTGGGTATGCTAACCAAGGTTTTATCCCAAGGAAATGGAAACCTAAAAAGTTTAAATTTTATGTAATATAAGAATGGACTTGCCATAAGAATATATATGATGTTGGTAGCACCTTTTAAGCATATTGGGTATATTTGCAAACTTTTTTAGAAGGGATAGTCCATTTGTGGGGAATATTAATCAAATGTTCTGTCTTTCCTATCAAAGGGCTAAATGAGACACCAGGAGCTCCATCTTTAAAGATGTCTGTAAAGATGCTATCTGGCAAAAGTTCTCTTCTAGCCAGTGTTTTTCTAAGATCAAAATACGTGCTTAAGGCTGCCTCCTACTCTCAAAAATTGTGCTTCAGTTATTAGCTGTGCCAATGTATGAGGCCAAGTTCTGACCACTCACGGTGATGTACAGGACCCCTTTTCAATAAGAATAGAAACCCAGAGGGACCCCTGCTGAATGTGCCTACATCCTTTGGCAGAGGTAAAAACCTTTTAAAAGGCGTATTTGTTTGTTTCATGTGTTTGAGTACTTTGCTTGTGTGTTATCAATGTGTACTGCGCCAAGACTGGTGCCCATTGAGGCCAGGAGAGGATACTAGATGCTCTGAACTGGAGTCAAGGATGGTTGTAAGCTGCCATGTGGGTGCTGGGAACCAAACCTGGGTCCTCCCCAAGAACAGCAATGTTCTCAACTGCTGATCCATCCCTGCAGTCCAGAAGTAAAAACTTTTTGCCTTGCTGAAGGAGTTAGAATTATGTGGTTACTCTCTGAGACCCCAGACCCATTTCGAACACATCTAGTGTCTGATTATAAATTCCGACCGAAATGCCTGAAGTGCTAGGAATTTGTAGAGTTAAAGAGAACCGAAGTAGAACTAGGAAGGTGGGATGGGAAAGAAAGGAAAGTGAGCAGAGACCCTTCCGGCTGACCCTGGAGACAGCCCCAACATAGACAAACTTGCTCCAGCTACCTCCTGCTGAACAAACACATCACCCTAAAATTCAGTGATTTAGCACAATGGTCCTTTTATGGTTATCATAGCTCTGGAGTGTTGGCTGAGCTCTGATGGTCTCTGGTTTTGCTTATGGATTAGCAATATCTAGAGAAAGCATCATATCTCACTTGTGTCTGGCCCCAGGCCTGAGAAGGCTCAAACATCTGGAAGCGGTTTGACATCTCTTTTGTTTTCACATGGTTTCTTTGCATGGATTCTCCCGTACAGCAGCTTCTGCGCAGCCAAAATTCTTTCAGAGCAGATCGCAGCATCCAAGGTTCTTGTCCGAAAAGAGAGTCAGGTAGAATCTACTACCATTTCAAAGCTGGCTTCCGAAGTCAAGGCAGTTACTTTGAACCAGACAGGCTCAAGTGACCACATACTTCGCCTGCTGATGGGAAGTGCACCAAAGAATCGTTGGGCATGTGTTTAAACCACCACAGGACTTCACAGGACTCTGACAGAAAGCCTGGAACATAATAATGAGTCATTCCCTAAACCACAAATTGTTTCATTGTGGTTCCTTTGCCTTTTGCTATGATGGCTTAGTCTGTTGTTTGAGGGCTCCAGATCTAGAGTTAAGATTGCCTAGGCTGGCCTCTTCTCTGACACAAGGCTTGGAACTTGGAGCAAGCCTTAATACCTCAGCAGTCCTGGGATTAGTAGTCATTAAGTGTGTGGCTGAAGCTAAGTATTGCCCTATTATGCCATATCCCCTTTACCCATAAGATAACCCCATAACCCATGGAGTCCTTACCTACTTCTCCAGCCATAGGGTTGGTGAAAAAAATAGAGGAATTTTCTGTATCTGTAGGGTGGATCAAGTGCAAGCTTCTACTATGTTCATTGTTGATGTGATTAAAGTGATTGGGATAAAGGCTAGTGCAGCCAGCCAGCAGAGTACAGCTATTAAAAAACCGACCCAAAGAGCAAAAGGTCCTACTGAAAGGCAGACTGCCCCAGTGGAAGACAAACATGGGCTGAGTCAGGCTGCTTGTCAGGTGTAAAACATAAAAATGCCAGTCCGTCTGGGTCTCATTCCGGCGATGGGCGATGGAGTCAGGAATCCAGCACGTTCTGAAAAGTGGGGTCGCATGCGGTTTTGATCCTGAAAAACGAGAGTCGCGCCCCACCCCACACTCTTACCCCGAAAAGGAATCCTCTACTCTGCTGCGCACTAGTGCCAAGAGAACACCGCGCTTCTGCCTAAACCGTCTCCAAGCATCAGAAGGCGCGGAGCCTTCTCTGACGTCCAGGCAGGCACCCTGGGCTCCCTGATTCCCAGAGCCACCCTCGTTCCGCAGGTGCCAATTGGGTGATTCAGGGGCACCCATCTTCCCAGCCCGAGCAAAACCCGGAGAGGTGGAATCGGTCGCCAGGAGCGCCAGGGCGGCCACTGGGCATGCTCTGTCGTCGGACAGGTTCGGGGCTGCCAGCGGCGGTGCGTTGTGCCGGTCCTACTGTTCCTCCCCAGGGCGGGTGCGCGATGGCGGCTGCGAGCGCCTGCGAGAGCAGCGGTGGCAGCAGCGACACGTCCAGCACGGGCGAGGAGGAGCGGATGCGGCGACTCTTCCAGACGTGCGACGGCGACCGCGATGGGTACATCAGCAGGTAGGCGACCCTTGGCCCAACTCCTGCAAGTAGCTGGTGAACTCGCAAGGAAAGTTAGTAGGTTCTGGGAGCTCGTCTCCCGCTGGGCCCCAGGGACCAGGGGCAGCTCCGGCTATTTTCCGGAGATACCTGTAGGAGGCGCTGCTGTCCTGGGACTGCTGAACTATTTCGCAGGCGCCTATGCGCTGTAGTGGTTAGGCAGAGGACTGGGACAGGGGTGTTATCTGACAAGACACCTACGGAAAACCGTTCAGGAAAAGTTCCTGCATCCCAAACTTAAGAGTCCAGAGAGAGGGCAGATTTTGTCTCCCAGCATCGATCTAGACACACTGCTCTGGAGCACAGGACACTACCAGGTGAAAACTGGGTTTTGAATATAAAAACAATAATAATAATAATAAATAGTGGGTCTGAATAATCTATTTAAAAAATGGCGTGCTTTTTAAAAATATTTTTTAAATAAATATTTATTATTTGTAAGTTCTTTATATTAAAGTTTTAATTAAAATCTGAGCCTGTAAATAGGAGTAAAAGAAGCCTATTAAAGTGAAACATATGGGAGGGGGGAGAAAAGAAAATGAATCTAGAATGCAGACCCTGCTCCGAGGTGTGACGCTGCAGGAGCCTGGCACCTCCATTCATCCTTCTAGTGTCTGCTTCCAGATTCTGGTCTGGTGGTGTGGCTTTAACCCATAGCACTGAGCCAAATGATGAGTACTGGCCAAATTTGTACGCCTTAGAAACTGAAGATGAAATATGGACACAGAAGTTGCAGGGTGCTTTTATGAAAGGCTGACATCTGGGAATGAAGAAGTATGTGCCGAATTTTGAATTGCCTTCAACAAAACGGGCAGCCTAACTTTTGTATACTCTGCTTCCTTAGACTTCATCTTGGGAATGTTCAGTATCCATTCTGAAAAACTGAGGTTGCCTGCTTGCTGTTTGTCTACCTAAAGGGAACAGGAATCAAGGAATATTTTCCCTAAGTTGTTCAAAAGCTTTCTGTAATAGATCATTTAGCCTGTAACAGTTTGGCAGGTTTTTTTTTTTTTTAAAAAAATCACCATTTATTTGAGACTTACTCAATTATCAATCTTGAGTGATTTTTTAAATTATATTTCCAAAGTTTAATTGAGAAACACTAGATAGACTAAAAAATTGTGGAATAATTCTTTTCCAAAATGAAAACAGTATGTAATTCTGATAGTTTCCACGTGGTTTTTTTTTTTTTTTAGCTTTGAAGTCAGTGTTGTGATTTCTAAAAGCAGATTATAAAGTTTGCGGTTTAGGGGTTTGCCTATGTGGAAGGCTGTTCTCTCATTGTAATAATAATAAAAGCAATCTATAATTCAAATCGGAATGCAAAAGGAGTTTAATGTCATACAAGCAAGAATGCATAGTGTCAATTAGCAACGTTCTTATCTTCCCCTCCCTAATTTGGTCGTTTAACATGGGGCTTTATCTGAACTACACTGAACTTCATACATGCTCATCTCCATTCACCCCGGAGAGTAATGACTTCACTAAGAAAACTTGAGGACTTTGTTTGGGAGACTGGAAGTTTCTCCTTTTATTAAACAAGAGAGTTGGAGTGTCTACATTGAAACTTTAACACTCTCAGGTTTTTTTTTAAAAAAAAACATTAATTTTATGTTCATGTTAGATAGCTGTGTCTCCTAGAAAGTTACACACGGCCAAATAAAGGTTGGCCTTATCACATTGTAGACGTGTGGCAATGGGCTATCCAGGCTTGTGTGGCAGTTTCATGGGACCATCGGTGCCCAGCTTCTTCTTTCCCTTCTGCAGCACAATTCTTCATGTAGAACACCCACAATTATATCACAACACAAGGGTACTTGCCCTAGCCCCCGCTTCACCCTCCCCCAGGTTCTAGGAGAAGTAAAAGAGAGTTGATGTGTGTTGGGCCTGTATCATTATAGCAAGATGTACCAAAAGGCCTTATTGTTCAAATTACAGCCTTTGTCACCTCTATTTACAACAGAGTGTGAGGAAAATTGGAATTCAGCTAGGTGTTGTGCTCCCGAAATGATATCTGAGTTCTGCCGCTAAGAGTAAACAGCAGCTTTTGGATGAAAACATAGCAATCAGTCTACACAAGAAAGCCCCCTCCTCCCCACTCCCTGTGATCATCTTCATTTGGCTATGTTGGCTCTAGTCCTCTACTTAGCACTTATCTTAAACTGGAGTGGGCTGGCAACCTTATGTCTGGAGGAAAGGAAAATAAGAGTGAAGCCCTTGTGGTGAACGTCAGGGAGACACAAGATGGGACTCTATGCCTTCAGTGTTCTCTTGGCTTAGTCTTCCCCACCAGGAAAAGGATTTGGCTAACTGAAGATTCCTGGATTTGATGATTCTTAACAGGAACCTCTAAACTGTCAAAGGGATGCGAACCATCCCCATTCAGTAGCTGAGATGGTCCACAAAACTATCGTTAAGTTTCCCATCCTTGGACATGGTAGAGTTTGGGTTGTGCAATGACACCACAGGAGACTCTTCTTGTATTTCATTAACCTTACAATGATTTAACCCCATATTTCACAATAGTGAATTCTGGAACCATATATTATATTATAGGAATCATTAGGGTTTTGTTTGGTTTTGTTTTTCACCTCAGTGATAAGCATTGTGAAGCTGCTTCTTTGTGTGTGTGTCGTTTGTTGTGTGTGTACATAGGCGTTTATGTCAGAGTGTGCATATATGTGTTTGCACGTACATGGAAGCCAGAGTTTGACATCAGGTATCTTCCTTGATTTCTCTCCACTTATTTTTAAATATTTTTTTAAAATTATATGTGTGTGTGTGATGTGCACGAGTTCAAGTGCCTGCAAAAGTCTTATGATGGAGGAGGGTCATCTGTCTATGTGTTGCTTTCATTGGTTAATTAATAAAGAAACTGCTTGGCCTGATAGGTCAGAACATAGGTAGGTGGAGCAGACAGAACAGAATGCTGGGAAGAAAGCAATGAGCCGCTGCCATGGAACCAGCCGCCAGATCAGACATGCTGAATCTTTCCTGGTAAGTCACCACCTCGTGGTGACATACAGATTATTAGAAATGGGTTGAATCAATATGTAAGAGTTAGCCAATAAGAGGCTAGAGCTAATGGGCCTGACAGTGTTTAAAAGAATACAGTTTCCGTGTAATTATTTCAGGTAAAGCTAGCTGGGTGGGCGATGGAAAGTGGTCCACCGTTCCTTTTACAATCTTAGGTGTCAGAGCCCTACAGGAGCTGGAGTTACACAATTGTGAGAGACACCTAACATAGGTGCTGGGAACTGAACTCCAGTCCTCTGGAAAAGCAATATGTGCTCTTAACTACTGAACCTTTCCTCTGGCCCCTCGTGTGTGTGTGTGTGTGTGTGTGTGTGTGTGTGTGTGTGTGTGTATGTATGTATGTATGTATGTATTTGAGGCAGGATCTTTCACTGATCCTGGAGCTCACTGGTTTACTAAACTTGCAGGACAGTGAGATGCAGGAATCCCAGTTTCTTCATCTCCTCCAGTCTGGGATTATAGATGTGCACTTCTATGACGAGCTATTAAAGTGGGTGCTGTAGACCCAAATGCAGGCCCTTGTGCTCGCATCATGAACTCTCTCCCCACTAAGCCATCTCCCCAGCCCATGAAGATGTGTACTTTGAGTCTATCTTTGACAAATATCTAAACCCTAACACTGGCATTTTAGCCTTCACTTTAAATCTCAGTTCAAACTTTGGTGCATTAAAAGCTGGACAAGCGAAAACATGTTCTCTTTGCCTCTCATTTCCTCATTCTTCCCCAGGCTCCAAAACTTAGCAGCCACTAATCAATTCTGTCTCCATTTGGGATATTTTGGATAAATGGAATTATATATGGTCTTTGGTGATTGTGATGCTCCTTTCAGTTAGTTAATGCTTTCAAGATTCCTCCTAATTTAGTATATACCAAGGTTTCCTTCCTTCTTGTGGCGGAATCATAGTCTGTTGTAAGGATACAACATATGCTGTTTGTTCATCAGATATGGAACATTTAAATGTTTACATCCTTTGACTACTGTGAGTAATACTGTCCTGAATATTTATGTGCAAATTCTTGTGTGCACGTATTCTCTTTTATTCCTAGGTGTATTCCTAGTAGAACTCCCGAGTGTCATGGAAGTTCTATGTTTAAGGTTGTAAAGAACTGCCAGACTGCTTTTCAAGTAGCTACACCATCTCACATCACTACAAGCCGTTCTGACTTTTCTGCATCTTTACAGATGAGTTTTCTAGTGAGTGAATCATTGTTCAACAACACCATCTCCTTGTCCTGATTTTGTCTACTTTGAGCTTCTGGGGGTCTTGTGTGTGCTGTCACAGTCTCTGTGAGTTCATATGCATGCCAGTCTTGCTGTGTCTGAAGACCCTGTTTCCTTGGCATCATGCACTACATCTGCCACTTGACAACTTTTCTGCCTTCACTTCCGCAAAGACCCCTGCCCCTTGAAAGAAGGGTTTCGCTAAACACATACTGCTTAGGGTGGAGTGCTCCAAAATCTCTCACTCTCTGTGCATTTTACAGTTGTGGGTCTCTGTGTCATTTCCCATCGAGTGCAATTAGAAACTTCTCTAATGAGGGTTGAGTGATGCCCTGATCTATGGCTATAACAATGTCGCTAGGACTGCTTTGCTCCTGTAGGAGAATAATAATAGTAAGTTTTCCTCTCGGGCCCATAATTCCTCTAGTTTTCAGGCTCTTGGCCACTTTAGGTGTGTCAGGTATGGATCTCATCTGAAGGCATAGGCCCTAAGTCCAATCAGAAAGTGGTTGACTAGTTCTGTGTCTTCCCTGCAGCAGAAATTAATCTCTTCTTTTTGAACTGAGATGCAAAGACAGCTTAAGCTTTTTGAGGGCCTTTTCTATCACACATACTACCCAGCGGATATAAGTGGTCTTGTTTTCTTCTAAAACCTTCAAGATCCAGTCTAACTGGCTTCTTGGCATCAGCAGGAATGCCATTT